GGGGGGGGGGGGGAAATCCCAAGCCTAAAAAATAATTTTTTTCCACAGAAACAGACAATTTTTTGTAAAAATCCTGCATAGATTAAAATAATACCTCCTCTGACTTTCTCTTTTTCAAGTGCAAGAGGAAATAACAGTATCCCCTCCTACAATAAAGGCCAGGGAGCCGGTGAAGGAAGGAATATACGAAATGCAACAATGGAAAAAAAAAAAAGGTGAAACCTGGGCCACAGACGGATGCTAAAGATTCTGTTTTGCTGAGATGAAAACTATGGTGTCCATTAAAACACACAAAAAAAACTAAACACCAAATATGTTTTAAAATAGAAGAAAAGTGCAAGAAAGTTAAGGAGGATTCCTCTTTAACTGTCTTGTCCTTAATCGTCTAAAACAAAATCAGCCATTAATAGTTTCCAAGAATACTACTTGGTCCAGGCTTTAATATTTCCAGCATGTTTCTGTAGGAAGTGGGATCAAAATAATCTGACAGTCCTTTGTGTCACTGACCATTAAACACCAAAACGTCTTCATCCAGAACCACTGACGGCCACATTTGCTTTATTGACGACCAGTAATTTTAAATAACAGAAATGTTCTTATCTGGACAGTGGGCACTCACAGTTACTGTTGTGTCTCCCCCACCTGCTGAACCATGTCAACAACAACTAGCATTTCCCATCTATGGTCTGGTAATACAGGCATGATTAAGGTTTTAAAATTTAAATAGCGACTATTACATATACAATACATTGCATCTTATATCCCCTGCTCAACCCTGTTTAAACGTATGCATTTGAAACATCAGAAGAAAAAAAACTGCTTGGTATATAAATAAAATCTGTTTTGGCCGTTATACTTCTTATTTGAAATATATAATCATAGATTAAAAACTCTTTGTTTAATAAATGCAACACTGCTAATCTGCATCACTAATATGTTTGCCTCTCTAGAGAGCACATTTCATTTCAGATTCATTTGCTTTCATTGTGCCGAATTAGTGTTCACACGTTCCCACGTTTTAGAAACTGCGATGTGACTAACTGCATTGTATAAATAACTGGATACGATCTGCAATACTTATAGACACTCCCTGCTGTTCCTTAGAAAAATGCACTCTGAGCAAACAAGGGGATCAAAAAGAAAAAAATAACACTGACTGGAAGTGACTCAAGGAAACTGCTCGGTGGACAAAAGTTGCTACAAGGGTAAAATAAAACATGAGACTGGTATGGTTGAGCTTCAGAGGCAGAGAATCTCTTGTATAGAGTGTTAACAGGATCAATTTTATTAAGGCCTAGAGTCTAAAAGCCCCGCTAGCAGCCCCTAGAGGCCATGTTGCTCCTTACAGCCAACAGGGCCAGAGGGATTCAGTCAGGGCAAAAAGAAATTCATGTTTCTGAAAAATAAAACAATACTATATTTGCGTGTGTATGCATGTGTCAGAAGTATTACTCTGCTGCAGTAGCCCTTCCTATAGTCCTTTAACCTTGTTGGCATGCTCTGATTAACCATTGAGATTTGATGGGAAGATCATTCAAAATGGCAGCTTGATTAATATGTTACCAGGACTTCACTTAAAATGGTTCAATTAAAAACATCAACGTTGCCAGCTTCCATTAATAGTTAAAAGTTTAAAACAAAATACATAACATGACAACTGTGGCTACAGCAAAAATAAAAAGGGAAATGAAAAATAATTTATTCAGGTATGACGAGTGACTGTTTTCCTGTAGCTCACATACAAGGCACAAAAATGATAAAGAGAAACCTTCATTCTAAAGCACCTTTGGTGTTCATGGGAGGTACTTTGGTGAAACAAAGTAAAAGAAAAAGTTAAAAGTCAAAGTAGCCTAAAAACCAAACCCCATTTTTAGTGTATTGATAATAAATAATTTGTCTAGCACTTCCATGCCGAAGAGATAAAAACACTTCAAAGGTTTTGTAAGAATGCCGATATATGACGTATGGCGATAAGTTCGTATTTTTCCCCGTGTTGCAGTTTTTGATGCTTCTCCCTGTGCGGTGCCGTCGAAGGTGTGAGATGTTTCTAAATTGCTCAGTGTTTTTGGCAAGCTGGTGTAGAAAATGGACACAGTGTTGGAGATATGTCTGAGAAGTTCTTCACCTGTGTGTACATGGAGGACCAGAGGTGGACTGTGTGTGTGTGTGTGTGTGTGTTTGTTTGTGTGTGTGTGTGTTTGTGTGTGTGTGTGTGTGTGTGCATACAGTTCATAGTTGTTTGTATGTATGCTGTTGTGGGTATGCATGTGCCTTTGAGCACACGCTGCTGAGCACGAGAGGCTGAGGTGGTGGGTGTGTCTGGAAGCAGCGGGCAGGGAGCGAGTCCTCACTAGGGAATAGCCTTTGCGTCCAGGCGCAGCCAGTGGAGGCCCTGCCGCGTGTAACGCACCAGTTCTGTCATGCTGCTGGTGTTGAAGATAAGAGGACCCATCACCTTGTCCAACTCCAGGAAAAAGTCTGGGAAAACAAAGACACAGCAAGAGAGAGACTTTCAGTATATTTACTATCATCTGTTCACTTTCTTAAATAACAACCAAACATAGGAGGCTATGTTTAGTTTGACTGTTGGCAGGATTACGCAAAAACTACGAAATGGATTTCTATGCTACTTGCTGGAAGAATGAGACATGGGCCGAGAAAGAACCATTACATTTGGGTGGCGGAACAGATCAGGCGCATCCAGGAATTTTATTTTTTAGCAGGATAGACATTTTCACTGATTTCCCAGCAAATAATTCATATTCAAACATATTCAGTGGACTTAGAGCCAGGTTTGGTGCAGATCTAAATGAGAGTCTGGATCTAGTGAATTTATATGTGGGTTATGTGGATTTGTCTGCTCTTTCCAGTCACTGCTCGGTACCAAATAGGACTAGAGATCTAACTGCTACCGATATGCAGCTGAGTGAATGTGGATGCAGGAACCAACAGTTCATATGTATGCTGCAGGAGCTTAAACGTAAAAAATCTTTTTGAAACATTAAGAAACATTTTCCATACAAATATATTATATTCAATAACAAAAGAAATAAATATATATACCTATTTTTTTAAGTTCACCTTTCTGCTCCTTGGATAATTGCTCAGCCTGGTCCCAGACCTCAGTGGCATACAGGAAGTTGGAGGTGACCTGAACGTAGCTGGCGGCCATCTGGTGGATACGCTGAGGTATGGTCACAGACGAGCTGGCGCTGCTACTGCTGCTGACTGACGAGTAGCCACCGGCCGTGCCCGGGGACAGCTTGGGAGACACTGGAGAGGGCATACCCGCTGCCTTACTGCATCAGGACACAGAAACAGACGGACATAGCGTGACATTTAAGCACACTGAGCACAAACTCAAAACCACTGCTGCACTGTATGACTCAGCAACTTCAAGTTGGTCTTTACACCAAGAAAAGTAAAGCAGGTTGACAGGTATCTGCAAAGAGGCTAATTCTTCTTTTTTTCCCAAGTGTTTACTTTCTTCCTTAGAAATTCTCACATTGGAAAATGTGAAACTTGTATGACTCAGCTTTCCTCAACATTGAAGACGTGTGTGGAAAAAAGCAAAGCTGGACATGACTTACTTTCCCATTCCAGGAGAGGGAGCCTGGGTGTTACTCAGAGAGTTCTGTCAAACAAAATGAGGGAGAGAACATTATGTACACAGATAGGGAGCAGGTTACACATTCACAGAGGATAACTATATTCATGGAATTCATATTGCCTTCCTGTGGTTCTGAGAGTTTGCCAAGCAAAACTTGATTAAAGCTTCTTGAGGACAAATGTACCTTTAAGTGCTCTGTGAGTGTTTTGGAGTATTTGAGTGCACTGTCTTTCCTCAGCTTGAATAACCGCAGGTACAGGAGGGACTGGCATCGTAAGCTGGAGAGAGAAATAAGTCAATATATTGATTTACAACTCTGCAAGAAGAAAGCAATGACGGGAGATGAGAATCTCCAAAATAAACAACATTTCTTTATCAAATAGAAAGGATTTGAGTTGCAGCTTAAAGACGAGCAACACGTAGACCACATCAAATGGAAATCCATCACCTGATGTCAATCAGGACACTTACCAAAGCACAGCTAGCCTCTTGTCTGCTGAAGTAGCATCTGGGGCCATATAGCTTTTTAACTTCATAGTGTATCTGAAAGCACAGGTAGAAAAAAAACATTTAGTTTCTACAAGAATCAACAGTTTCAGACAGTATAGAAATATTTTTTATTTCATTATTAGGTACATTTATTACACAGGAAAGCAGGAAAAGTGTATTACTACTTGTTATAACCTAGTACCTAAATTACTCACATCATAACTCAACTAATGACAGTTTCATTTTGTGCAATGTTAAATTTAAATTGTGTGACAGTGATGAATGTGTGTATTGGGGTTTGTCCGTACTTGATAAGCTCCACAGTTTCAGCATACATGGGGAAGGGAGACTTAGACTCTTGGGCACTCTTCTCCAAGGCGTTACCACATTCAACGAAAGACACCACAGCATCCAGGTAGTAAACTGCCTTCTCAAAACGGTCCAACTGTAAATGAGGGATCAGGGACATCATAAAACTAAACCATCGTTACAGTTTTATCTTGAGTTGGGGAGCATGTAAGTCATTTCCTTTTCAATCTGTTTAAGTGATAGAGATAAACTGATATGGTCCTGGTCCTGTATGTTACATAACTGATGTGTGTGTATGTGACTTGGTGTGGATTACATAAAATAGCACATAACTAATTACATCCTCAAAGAAGGTTATGTTTCCACCAATGTTGGTTTAATTGCAGAATTACAACTAAAGTGATTTCCCCAACCTCAGTGGACGGATGGAGCCTGTGTGGGAGGAACCCAATAAATTATTGAGCGGATACAGATTAAGGGGTCGGATCAGAGATTTTTTTCACTTTCTTTAACAGTGCAACATAAGGCACTTTTCCACATTTGATCTTTTTTTCTGTTAAAAGCTCGACAGTGTGTAAGATCGATCAGACTTGGTGGAGGAATGCCAGTCTAGTTTATATACATGTTTGGATTGAATGTACAACATAACAGATGTGAACAAATGGGGAACAGTGTGGGTTAATCAGTTGTAATCCAGGTCCATTATAGCAAAAAATGATTGACAGTAGATATTGTAAAATATATATATATATATAATTGAACTAAATGAAAGTTTATTTCCTAATTTTCAGCTGTTTTTGTAGCATTCATATACATTAACTGTGTTATAATATGGAACATCAGTATTTACATAGGCAACCAAATATTAGGTATTTAAATGTTTTTGACTAGAAATACCAGGAAGCAGAATTGGCCTTCAAATAATCCCCAGGTGAGACAGCAGTTAAATATAGACACCAGCTCATGTTACAATAACAAGGCAAAAAAAACAACAGAAAAATGTATTGTGAATTCCTTTTCTTTTTTTTTTTCACTCTAAAACTGAGAATGCACATAAGGGGGGAAAAAGTGCTATGGAAACTGAGGAAAACCTCAAGTCAGAACAATAAATACTATACGATCACATAAATTTCAGCAGTAAAGGAAACATGTTAAAAGCAGCATTAAACTCCATGTCTGACCAGGATGTACTTTTACATTAAGGTCTAGGCCGTGTTATTTTACACGCGGTCTGTCAAGGCTCTGCATGCAGCAACATACACTGTAACATCTCAGTTACACATATAAATAGTCTTTAGGCTCTTGTTCTTACCAGTGCATCTGCATTGTGTTTAAGTTTCTTTGCCTCTTGTAAGTAGTGATCTGCTGAATGGACCCTGAGAAAATGGGAGCAACAAATACAATTACTGAAATATTACAAATAAAAAACAATTAATAAACTCTGCTGTGGCTACACCTTAAAAACAGTAATTCTTCCTATGAATAGAACTTGTGAAATAAAAGATAAGAAATAAGTTGTGTGGTTTTTCTACTAGCATGAAAAGGAAAAAGATTTCCACCAGAGAACCTTTTAAAATGTAAATTACATCACCTTGCATACAGTCACATCTATTCATGACCTCCGCAGCCTCATACTGCTTTATACATTCAAAGGCAACTCTAGATCCCCCACAGCAGCCCTTTCTGCATGTCCCACTGTGGGGTTATCCACAGTGGAAAGAGCTCTTCTTACCTGTCCTCAAACACTAGCTTAGATCTCTGAGACTTGGAGCCGTCTGTGGAGAGTGGAGGCACAGCCAGCTGGTTATCACAGCCCTTTGAGGATTTCTCCTGCAGAGACAGAAGGCAAGAGGGAATAAAGTTTCAGGAGAAAAAAGGGCTGAAGTGTTTGAAGTTGCGGATAAAACTGGGAGAAAAAGGTGAATGTGAAAAAGTGGGATGGTTGCGTTCCGTGGACATTGGGCATATACAATGTACAGACCCAAATATTGCAGTGATTCCACACGGTGGAAATACTTAGAATTAGAATCCTTAGTGAATATAACAATTCTGCTCAAACATATATATTTATAATTATACATACACGTTCATCAAGTTCTCCACCACTTCCCTTTCTTTTCTTCCCACAGTTTTTTTTGGTGTTTGCTTTGTTATTCAATTTCCTCAGGGTGAAAAATACTGCACAGCTGGCAAACATGATGAAAAGCTGCACTCACACTTCACAGTATCTGCAGTGTTTGCCAGGTATTCACACTTACAGCAGCAGATTCCTGACTCCTAAGGTTACTCGCACCCACCTTGCCATCTCGTGTGCTGCGTCCCTTGTCCTCCCCTTTTCTGTGCTTGGAGGTGGAGTTGCCCTTCGTACTGTGGCCCCCCTCCTTTCCACTTCCTGTCCCACTAGACAAAGAGGTGGAGGACTGGCTGACCGTCCTCTTCCGACTCGGATGCTCTGCCTTTGGCGTCCGCTGCAGACCTGACATGGATGGAGAAGGGACTGGCTCCTCTTTCTTCTCCAAAGACCGCTTAGACCTGATGGGATATGAATCATTATAGTCATACACTCATTGTTTACATTACTTAAATTTACCTTTCTGCAGCATTACTATAAAATACATAAAAATATTAAAACTCAAATTTGTGATCCGAAAGAATAGAGGAAATCTTTCTAAAATCAAGAGAGCCAAATGTTCCTGTTGTACGGGGGGGTTTAGCCTAGTTTATGCTTCTGCGTCACGTCGACGCCGTACCTACGCATTCGAAGTTCTGCATCGAGGGAACGTGTTGCTCTGCAATTCACCGCCATGGCGCTAGGAGGTGTAGCTGTGTGTTTGTGTGGTTATAGCCGAATCCTCGCTTTTTCTTCCGTAAAGTAAACAACAGTAAACAATGGCGACCGAGGTGGAGCAGCTGTATTTGTTGTTGGAGCTCATCAATATTGAAGAACAAATGCTTATATTGCAAATGTTGAAGCGCAAGCTACAAAGAAAACGTTTGCGGAGGTGGTTTTTACGACGAGGAAGAAAGACCGGAAAAGCAACTGCCGGAACTTATGTTCTGAGCGGACCAATCACAGCGCTTACGGTCCGCGTCGACGCGACACGTAGTTAGGATTTTTGGGAGGCGCACGTCAGGCTACGGCGTAGCTACGGCGTAGGTACGGCGTAGGTACGGCGTCGACGCGACGCAGAAGCATAAACTAGGCTTTACTGTGAATGATTACCAGATTGTAAAAGCAAGAATACTCACTCTTTACTGCTGTTTTTATGATGAGATAGAGACTTCTCCTCTAGCTTGCATCGCTTGCTCTCTGTCTTTGTGCCTTCTTCATCATTCTAAAAAGATACAAAGATCACATGAAATTAAAAAGCAAAGACACATTAAAAGCATGCTCACATTTATTGGTGTGTGCAAATGGGAACTAATATGAAGACGTACAAAGAATTATAGTCAAGCACTTTTATCTCTTAGGACTCGTAGTACAATAGCACAACTTTAAGTCTCCTTCTCTGGTAGTTTCACAGCTATTAATATAAAACAGCCAAATCATCCAATGACAAATATTCCAGGTCTGGAATATAAAAAAAACCCCAAATTAAATCAATTGTTCCTTGGCTCAAAGCAGTTTCTTACTTTGATGCAAGTCTGTTTGTAGGTTATTGTAAGTCACATCCTGTTTAGAAAAATGCTGACTAAACTGAAGTGGAGTAATTTCAACATCCTTCAACAAGGACCTAAATAAATCATTCAGTCATCAAGGTCATGCTGAAAACAACCATTTTGTTTTTGTTTAAAGCACTTTGTGGTCAGGGGGTTTTCATGATTTTAATAATTTAGGTGACATTTAAATGACAAAAAACTCATCATCGTATTTAAGCAAAAAAACCCTCATAAGTGTTCTACCTTGTGTTTCCTCTTGGCCTTGCTCGAGCTTTTCTCAGAGCTCTGCTTACTGAAGTCTTTGTTGTCCCTGTCTAGAGAGTCGTCCCGCTCCACTTTTATCTCTGCAGGATCCTTGTAGGGCCGCCCTGGGATCCTCGACAGCAAACTGAGATCTACAGGAAATCGGAAGGAAAGGGAAGGGAAGGGTTTAACTTGGTCCCATGTAAAGAGAAGCAGGAGGACTGTGCACTCCATCCAGGCAAGTGTAACGTACATGCACAGAATAAAGTACAAGTTAGTATTATATTATATTATTTTAAGTCGCTTTGCCTTATGAGCAGTTTCAACTGACCTATCTTCACGAGTAGAACCTGCTGCTGAGGCAGCCTCGCAGGATAGCGCTCCTCAGGGTCACTCAGTGGAGACAGCAGCTCTTTTTCTTCCATTGGAGAAAACACACACACTGGGGTCCTGATACTCTCTGAGTACTTGGGCGTCTGCGACGAGGACGGGATGCTCTCGTTCCCCTCAGAATCGGACGACGAGGAGTCCGTATCAACAAACTCACGAGACTTCTGGGAAGTCTTGGTGGCCGCCTTAGGCTTGCGTTTGTCCACAGTGCTGGTGACAGCAGCTGCGGTGGGCCTCGGTGAGGACTTGGGTTCTTTTTTGATACTTGGTTTGCGTGAACCCTTCGTAGCAGCTTTGGGCCGATGGGGAGGAATCTCTGGGGCTGGCTCACTCTCCACTCTCAGACCTCCCTTGGGTTCCTCCACCACTGGAGGCTTCTCAGATTTTTTGGGCTGTTTTTTACCCACACGGATTCTCGGATTCGTGCCACCCTCACTCTGGGCAGGGGATTTTTGCCGGCCACGGCCACCCTCTGCGCCCTTTTGTGCTGCCCGTAGGTCTCTACTTGGGGTGGGCGTCACTGAGTCTTTAGACCCCCCTCCCTGGCTACCATAGCCACGTCCTGAGCCGTTATCTCTGCCCTCTTTCTTGCACTTGGTTGGAACACTATTGTTGTCCACTGGAGAAGCTGGGGAGAACTGCTTGGCCTTCTTGAACCAGTTGTCCAGCTGCCATTTGTTGGCCATGGGTTGTTCAGGCTGAATGGGTGCAGGAGAACACAAAGGAGGTAAGAAAATGTCTTGGTGAGAAAAAAACATCTATAAAAACTTTGTAAAACATAGACAAGTAAAAAAGAATCTATAACAGACAAGAGAATTAACACAAAACCAAAATATCAGTGGACAGTGTGTGTTGATACAGAGCCAATTAAAAGAAGCAATTAACTACACCATTACTATAGCTATGGTTAAATCATTACTTCAGGAGAGGCTGGCCGCGGGGGCTCGTTGGCCTCGCTGTCCGTCGTGCTGCTTTCACTCTCACTGTCTGAGCCCGAGCTGCTTTCCGAGCCGCTGTGGCTGCTGGAGTCATCCCTCGACTGCTCCGCTCCTTCGCTGTTATTGCTGTTGTTACAGAAAGACGGAGTCCTATAATATTATATTGAGTTCAAAAAGAGTAGTCACGTTTCGATTAACTCAATATGAAACAGCACATTTAATAAATGGGGAAACGTTTGCAGAGATCCCACACCTCTCTCCACAGACACCCAGCTAAACCCCGACTGAAGCGACAAGGACTCACTTTTTCAATTTGTTAAGGTGCGAATTAACATAACTTTTCACACTTCAGGAATTCCAATTTTTGTTTTAAGGGCAGCCAGACCCAAAAACATAGGATGAATTTGTTAAATATATGAATAAATCTTCTGTCAATATACCTGCAACAATACTACCCTTTCATCACAGAGGATTTTTTTTAATCCAACTTCTGCATCATCTCTTTCATGATTTCAAGGATCAAAATGAAACAAATAACTTTCAATAAAATGAGCCTAAACACCACTACAGCTTCACAACTTTAAACTGAGTCAATACTTCCTGCAAAAAGTCACAACAAAAAGGTAGTATTAAAATTTCACATAAGTAATTTACTATGCTCTGTGCTTTACCTTGCTGATGTGTTCCTTGAGGCATTCTTGGCAGAGTCCTGTTCTACATCACTATCTTCGCTGCTGCTCAGCTTCAGGTCATCTTCGAGCATACTGAGATATAATGAAGCATAATTAAATCTTTGTAGTTTATTACAGCAGTGTAATTGCTGCAGACTGGGAGTGCTGGATGTGTCTACCTAAGCATGTCTGGTTACTTTAGATTTACCTAATTTATTATAAATATTCATTCTAGTACCCTGCTCCCTGGTGTCTGGGAAAACTACAAACAAAGGATGAGAAAAAGGAGGCAAAGAGGGAAATGGACGCAGTACTTACGTGGGCTGGTCATCGCAAGTTTTGGACTGGTGACTGCTGGAGCTCTTGGAAGAACTACCCCGTTCTGGAAAAACAAAAAGACATAAATATAAAATAAATATATACATTAAATAATACATGTATATTGTGTTATGGTTTGGATGTGAAATGTGTCTAATACTCACTGTGTCCACCAGGAAAAGGGTGTGAGTCCTGAGGTAAAAATATATATATACATTTTCATGAATCTTTATCACATCCTTAAAATTGCAAACAGTACATGAATAAGTGAAATTAATCAAAATAGAGTTTTCCTCTACGAGTTTGTGGTTAATCAAGTTAATGAAGGTACCAGCATAACAATAAGAAAAGTGTTGAAAGCTTATTTCAGATCAAATATTTATCAATTATCCAATGATCCAAGTTTGTTAGGTATATTATGTAAGGTCTTTCTGTAGCATAAAAAAGTAATAGACAAAAAACTAAGCTTTATTTTTTAAATCGTGACACACTGAGTCAACTGATTAAGACTGTCACCAATGCAATGCTGACCTTGGTAGGGAATGGAAACTTGGATGGCTCTGTTTTACAGGGGGTGTGGATGGCCGTCAGCGGAGGGGGCCACGACTGAGTCATTTCCTGAAAGGAACAAAACACACAGAGAAGGAAAATGTGCATATGAGTTAAAAGATATGTGAATGTGAAATGCTCGTTCATTGAATCGAGAGAGTCAGGTTTTCTCTGAATACTCGTGAGGAAATTGAAGGGGGGGTGTAAAAATACAATAATGTGCATACCTTCAGAATTTCATCGACACAGTTGGCATCACCGGTGCCCTAAAGACAGAAACATAATGCTCAGCACACATGTTCATAAACAACATGTTAGTGCAGCAGTGAGAGGTGGCTTCCATTTTGAGCACCATGAGTCACTCTATAGGAATTGTATGAGCCCTACAAGTTCAGTCTGTCCACATGTATCATGCTGTGAGGCCATTTAATGCAGTTACTACATCATTATCAATCCAAGCTCCACTCATTAAGAGTGCTCTGTCATTTAAAGTCTTCACGTAAACTCTACAACTATAACTTTATAACTTCAGGGCCACATAAAAACAGTGGGCCCTTTATGTGAGAAGTGGACATGTGCTGCAGGGTTGAGAATAAATTATGAATTGAGGGCCTGTAGATGAAGCCTTACCTCCACAGGCTGTGAGGGGATCTTGAGTTTGGAAAGCGATGCTTTGCCGTTGGACTTCATCTCTCCCATGGTGCTGCTGTGCGACTGTCCGCTGTAGCTTTCAGCTTGCGAGCTCTTGGGCTCTGCCGTTTCCTGGCCGTCCATAGGCCGCACATAGGCCGTGGGCTTCTGCAGCATGGAGCCGGGCTTGGACATGAGAGACGGGGGAAAGGCCTGACTCGAGTGCTGTCCACTAGTGAAGGAGGTGTGAACCCTTGAGGGTGAGTCCCAGTTGGCCTCTCTGTCTCGCGGGGACTTGGAGCGGTAGCGCTCCTTGCTGTGGTGCTGTTCGGCAGACAAGGTGCTCCGTGAGTGGCTGTTGCTGCTGGAGGAGCTCAGTGAGCCCTTGGCGGGACTTGACGTGTGTGACTTTGAGTGCTCTGATCCTCCGCTGTGTTTACTTGATTTCTTTTCCCGCACCTCTCCTCCGTGTCTTTGGCTACTGCTGCTGCTACTGCCTCCGTTGTTTCTCTGGCTGCTGTGCCCACCCTGGAGTCCTGAGCGTTTCTGGGACTGGGATGAAGATCCACCTGCTGGACCAACAGGAGTCCACTTACTGCTCTGACTGCTGCCACCGCTACCGACGCCACGCTGGTCCCCAAACAAAGGTGGGCCTGATTTCTCCTCTGAAGAAGATGAGCTGTTTGAAGGTTTACTGCTAAGCTTTGGAAGTGTGTCACCAATCGGTTCTTTCATCTCGTCGTAATTGCCCAGCATGCTCTGAATACGGCTGGACAGTTTATCTTCCTTGCTGGACTAAAGGGAGAAGCAGAGGTGGGGGGAGAGGAAGAAGAAGTGGGGCAGAGGACAGAGAGATGGAAAAAAAAAACAGAAAGAGAAACAGAGGGAGAGAAGAGACAGAAAATTAATTAAAAAGAAGATAAATGAGAGGAAAGAGGGGAGGCAGAGTCGGGAGAGAAAATAGTTCAACACTTAGGTTAATTGCTTTCCATCCAAAATATTGAAAATTGAGAAAATCCCTCCTACATAAAACACTAAAAAAATCAGTCATACAATCAAAATGAGCATCACAGAAATGCAGATTTTTCATCAACGAAATACAAGAAATGAAGTTCATCTCAATCAAACGTCACCACTTTTACATTTGAAATAACTGAACATGGAGAGAGGTCTGATCAGTCAATCACAAAGTTTGTTCAAACTGGGCCCAGATCAGTCCACATCCATCTGTGAACACAGATAAGGGTCTACCCATAGTTCCCACTCAGGGGTTAATCAATCACTTTGAGGTCACAGGTCCCAGTCGACCTGTTTGCAATCAGCCTGCGACAGAATTCTCTGTAGAATATCCAGTTTCACACGTGGGCTCAAACCTCTGTTGTGTTTGACAGCTTCACATAGAAGGTGAAGAAACTCAAACTGTTATCTGTTGGCAGGTAATGTAACTAGCTTGTTCATAATGTGCACTTCACTTCCCCTGCTAGCACAGCCTGGCTCCCATGTGTTTCCCTTTGTATGAAGAACAGAAATGACGAGCTTTATTATTACTGTATCAGACCTTCAGACAAACATCAGTTCAACAGAAACACGTCAGTAAAAAAAACAAAAAACACTGATTGCCATCTTATCTAAATCTCTTGTCAAGAGTGAAAAACTGCCCCTGAAAGAACTGGTCAGTATTCTGACTGATACTTCCGGTACAACTCTCCTCATTTGCATGTTGTAAGCCTAGCAGCTACTCTGGCACACGCCTAACACAGCCAGAGCTGCATTCAGCCTGCATGAAACATAGTAAAACGCTCAAGGTAAACCAACCACCCGCCCGCCGCTGATTAGGCAACACCTCTGACACTCCCACCAGAAAACTAAACAAATGTACAGTGAAAACCTTTCACGAAATAGTTGTTCAACTTAAAAACTGTAACAAAACATTGCACATTGTTCTCAGATTGAACGTGCCCCTGGTAAAGAATGAATGAGCTCAATGGAGTTTTTTCATTTTCTAAATTCAAAACTTTTTTGTTTCTGGGTCTAGTTGGATCTTAGCATAATTTGATAAAAAGGCCTATTTGATAATCACATTAGAGGGATCCTGGATGGAAAAAAATGGGCATTAGTCTCAGAAATCTAATATTGTGCAGCTCGAATTTTCAAGAGATAATTTCGTACAGCTCAGTTACGAGTGCGTGAACTCTGCACCATAAAAATCGTACTGCTCTGCTGGTCTACATCTGGGAGGCCACAGCTGCAGCTGCGTGCACACATGGCCTTTAATGCAGAACACAGTAAACTTCCACTTAGTGGAGCATGACAGAGGAGGAGGGGTGGAGAAAAAAAGTCAAACTGAGGCTTACGTAACACCCAGACAAGCAGGAGACAAGAGATACAAAGTGCAGAAAAGCCAGTGACTTACACAGTTGGCTTTTTCCACGTGATATACTAACGTACTTCCCTCTTTTTTTCTTAAAAAAGATTTCTAACAACAGAACGAACGTGCACAATAGAACTATTTGCTGCAAACGCCTTTCTTCCTTTGCAAAAGGTCAATGACTTTTCCTTCTTCAATGTCAGCTTTTTACCTTCCACTTTGTTGTGGTCCAAAACACACAGGCCAGCACTCATCACTCACCTCTGGTTCCCTTTCTATTCCCAACCTGTCAGGACACATTCCCCATTGCTGCTTTGATGTGTAGCCCTCGCTAAGGAGAGGAGCCACTTACCTCTGCTCAAATCTGGTTAGTGGCAAAGATTAGACCAGTACGGAGAACTCAAATCCTCTTTACAATTATACTGGCTGCGGTAGGATCCAGGAGCTGGCTGGCCTACATCTATGTGTCTGTGAGCACAGGATGAAGACACAGAAGGTGCAGGAGGAGGGGAAGCTGGCGTGTCCTTATGTTTATTTTCTACAGTTCCACTACACAACAGCTAAGCAGGAACATGTGCTGTAAATTCAACATACTGCTAACAATGATTGAATTCCAATATTGAAAAAATGTCCGATACTGTTTTCAATATGCAACTTCATACTGTTCTGCACACGCATCAGTAAATTACATCTTTAAATTTGTGTGAGGTAATCTGGATTAATAGAAGGTGAACTGAAGAGCTTGTTCTGACTTCGCTCACTTTAACAACTTCATGGGCATTAAAGTACATCCTGCCTTGTTTAGGGTTCGTCAATGGTAAACAAAACCAAGCTTGTGGGATCCCGGAGGTCATTGTCATTGAAACAGCAACACAACTTTTTCTCAAGTCTAAATCAAACATATGATTTTCTTGAGAAATGTCTACTACTGGTAACAAATTTTTTTCCAGATGGTTTTGACTTAAATTCAGTTAAACAAATACACCTACTGTGCACACGCACCTGTAGATTGACTCCAAAAGAAAGAGGGTTTCCTTCCACATAAAACCCCAAAGCTAAGCATTCCTCTGCAGTTATTCTATATTCACACAATGCTCCTGCTAGTACGAGCAGCTCTCACTTCCTGTCACTGTTTCAAATTCCTCTAAACTGACTGAATCAATTACTGTCAAATGTGAACACGAGGTAAATAAAACTTACCACTTTGTAGGGTTCGGGGAAGAGAGGGGAATTTGCTGGAAAAGCCTCTCCTCCTCCCTGCTGGATTTCTTGATTTCTCCTTTCTCTTTCTTTCATTCGGAGCACATTCCGGTCCTCACGGTTCATGTTGCTAAAAACATTAACAACAGCAGCAAAATGTCAACACAAAAACAACCTGAAGAGAGACAATAGATGAACTTTTTATGGCATGGCTTTACCCATGGATTTCAAGGATGGATATAGAATAAGCATTGTAATGAAAACAAGACATTAATCAACCCTTCAGTTCTCTTTTTTACGCCAAGATTACTTCACAAAGCAAAACCAAGTAGTTCAAGTTTCCACCGGGGCCTGTACTACGAAGCGAGTTCAAAATACCCAGGATATCTTTACGATATCCAGATGAAAATAACCGAACAATCGCAATCAGGCTAAGCGATCACACGATGCTGGTTATCAACTCGGTAAGTCAACCCAGGTTCGCCTCATCAAGATCTGAGCGTGTGCACACAAACGAGGCGTGTTTACTGCATATTTAACAATCACTGACCTACACAAGTGTACTGGCAGCAGAGCCGCGTATTTCACGACGAGGATCAAACCGAAATATTATAAAAATACGAGGAGTGCAAACACATTATCCAGACTAAAAGAAACACAGCTGCGAAATACAGGTAGGGCTGCTGGTAAAAAATAATCTCTGATTGTCTGAATGTGTACATTAGGGAGCCCCCCGGTGCAATTGGAAAAACATCATTACGTGACCACGACATAATAATATGAGGGAATGAGACAAATAACTCGTGGCCACGAGATATGAATCTGTTATTTACTAACAAGACCTGTCGAACTAAACTGAGGAAGCCACTTGGATGGGAGAAGAAACGTTTCATTTAATCACATGATGTAGCCTCTATAATGAGCTTTAGTTTGACACGCACTGTCTGCACTGACTCTGAGGGCACTGGAAACATTTGCAATTACTAGACAATAAAGTAGATGGACCTATTTTCGTGTGCCATGGCACGAAACATGACTGTACGTATTTAGTATCCTGGTGACAGGATGTGCCTGGCACATCTGGAAATAGGGAGAGATTGAGATGTACTGGGTGTGTTAGCAGCAGGGATTGACTTAACCAACCAGACGTAGTTTTACACTTCCCTTGTTCTTCCCTTTAAGGAGAGTGCACACAACGAAACACTGTACTGTACTACTGTTGGTGAGGACAGACTGCGCAAGTCTGAGAGAGGGAGAGCAGAGCTGCACAGAATTTTCTTTTTTCTGCTCTACAGGTTCCTCTATGAACAGTGATGTCATGTTTCAAAGGAATGTAATTGGCCAGTGGGCGGTGCTTTTATACAGGTTGATGTTTTAGTTCCAACTTAACCTGCTCTGGACTAGGTCAGCCATTCAGCATAAGTTACCATGGTGATTTCTCCTGATACAGGGTGAACGAGCTGTTGGACTGAAAAGCCTGAAGTAACCTGAAGTTATACGGATAACCACAAATTCTGATTTGTAGTACAGGTCTCAGGTCACAGCAAATCATATGGTCAGGTTGCCATTACCTACTCTCCAGTCTGAGTCACCGTTTATTGGGTAAACCACAAAAAGGACTATCATTACTGAACCCCACACATCATAAACAGAGATGACCTGAGGAGAAAGTAGTCTCTAATAGGCTTAGGCTGGTCTAGACAATGAAGTAGCCTACTTCTACTGCAAACAACCTCCTTGTGCAGATGGAGAGTGGACATTTGTACACCAGCTGAAACAAACAGCCATTTTTCTATGTAGTCTTACATTTTTCCTACAATTTGTACGGATACTAATTCGACACATTTAGAAATCAATTACAAACATTCATTTTCCAAAATGACCGACGTCCAGAACCACTGACTCTGACTTTTGTGTTCTCACACACAGCTGGTCTGGAATATTTCAGGAAAAATCTGGAATTCTGAGTGCATTTCTGAAAACAGCCTTATTAACACCTCATAAAAATAATAGGGATTTTTTTCTATGGAACAGCATGTAAGCAAATACACAACATAAAAAAATAACCTATTGTCAACAAACCAAGGCTCCATTACTGACAGCTAAACACACCTCTCTGCACTCATTACCCTGTGTAGAACCATAATAGAGCAATTTGAGTGCAGCGTTCTTGTACTAAGTGAATGTGTGAACTGAAACCAGAGAGACAAATTACACCAAATGCATGAACATGTATTAAATCAGTGTAAGACAACCAGATCTTAAGCACAATGTCTTAAAAACATAAAGCTTGCAATAGAATCTGTTGGTGCCACCTGGAATATCAAAAGATGGGCATTTGGAGAGAACAAGTATGTGTTTGTTCCAGACACTCAGCCTGACAATAACACAATATGACCGTTGAGCACCATGTTCAAGAGAAAAGTACTACAGAGCATTGTAACCTGAAAGAAGAATATTATCAGTCCTGAGGTGTGTCACCTCCCTCTAAGCTGACAGCTCCAGGCTCTGCCAGCAACAACAATGATTTTAAGACTGTTGACAGAGAATGATTATGCTGCAACCACCCGGACTCCTCCTAGATTATAAACACAACACACAGGGGGGTTTTCAATCCTCACTAAGTATGACTGAAAAGATGAAAAGAAGCAGATAGGAAACTGATTTTAGTACGAAAAAAAACTAAACTAGACAAAGAACCACAAACTAGACTACGCACAAAAACAGATCCGAACTATAAATCACTCGTTAATGCTCTACACTCAATCTTTCCTGCACTTGAGAAAAACAGGTTTGTGTGTTATTTTTTCATTTTGTTTTTACAACTTCTAACTAGCTATCTGCAAGCTTATCAGCAAGATGAAATATTTATTTCCTTCCTCCTTCTTTCCCTTCTCGTAATTTACTAAGCCTTTGCCTGTTTTACACACAAACAGCACCTATACTACAGTATGAGTCATTACATTGAACAAATAATGTGATTTACACAACACCTCGAGGCTACATTAACCCAAAGCTCAAGAAGTGACCAAGGCCATAAGAGACACTATTAGCAAATGTTTTATCAGGAGAAGTGTAAAGAAAATGTACAATTGTATTGTCAAGCTGAATCAACGACAACTAGACTTGGTTAGAGATAATTTAAAGACATTTCACCTGCAATCCAAGATCCCACGATCTAATCCCTTTGTTTTCTTTATCAAGGACAACTGTCAATTGGTTCGTTAGTGCCCCTGGCTGTTGTTACGTCAGTCATAGGAGTCGTTCCAGGATGCTTTGTGCTATTCATCCATGAATGAAATTTAGCTTATTGTCATACATTTATCCTTCTCTACCACTAGGGTTGAAACTTTTGCCATGATAATCAATGTCAGGTTTTCGAATGTGTTGATAAGGATATTAATGGTTTGTTCCATACCAGCACCAAAACTGATAGTGACACGTGAGCATGTAACAGGCTTAAAAGTGACAATTATGCTAGCAGGAAGTGGACAAAGTTAAGTGTCTGGAATAATGTCAAAAATGTGAAAATAACCCTCCAAAAATGAAGAGTGACACAAGTGCCAAAGGAAACCTGTAAGTAAAAAAATGGCATTCAAGACTTCATGAAAGTCCTACCTGCCAATCAGCTGAGTAACAGTCATCACTTTAAAAGTCTTCAGTGTAAATATTATTAAAATTATTTAGGTGAAACACGTATCTAGTTTTCATGCCTTTGGTCAGACAAAAAAAATGGCGCTTCTAGCATGTTGGTTCCACATGTACATGTAAATGAGCCTGTTGATGTCAGGATCAAATAGCCCTGGTCCAGAATCATTACTAAACACTGCTTATGTCTTTTCAGCGTAATTGACCAATCTATTGTTTTTTTATTAGTTGAACAGGAGGTTACACCCTTGCCTCCAGTGACAGCACTAAAGAGAATAATGAGACTCATCCATTTGATGGTGGTTTCGACAATACTGGTGAATAAATCCTAGTGTTTATCAGCCCCCAGTCTTTTATTTTGTACCTTTCGTAAATCAAAACACCTTCACTGACAAGTACCTCTAACCCTTTTAAGTAATCTATCCCAGAGAAAATTAAGAGCTAAATGTAGGTTCATTATCATACACTACTTTTTAAAGGTCACTCGGGTATGAAAGAGTAAAGCGTGCTTTTAGTATGAGGGAGTACAATTAGTATCCAAATGAAGAAAAGATGCATGTGGCTTTTATGATCCTTTATACAGATCCCACTACATTACAATTAAGAAGACCCCTTATTATTGATTCTTTACTTATTTACCCAGAACTAAACAATCCAGCAAATTGCCATCTCCTTGTGTGAGTTAAGATAACATGCTGGCATTATAGAATCAGAGGTACATCTTGTAACACAACATCATCAGAGTCTGTTCCACCATGCTGATTCTCCCTTTTCCACAGATGTCGATCTGGGTCTGTCACTAACTCCACTGCAGGATGATTGCTGGAGCAGCAATGTTGTCCCCCATTCTGTGCTTGTACCTTTGATACAGAACGATGAAGCAGAATAAAGGCACAACATTCCCCCCTTTAACAGGCTGTTTAAAAAGGGGTCTTGTGTAAATATGAGCAAGTCTCTGAGCTCAAAAGGTTTTCAAGTCGACTTCAGACCAGCAACAAAACTCGAACTAGGCAAATGGGAAACCTCAAACATTTCAACAAGCGGTGATAGACCTTGCCTTATCACAGTGGACTAACAAACCCATTCACGTGTGGTTGAATATCGAGAAGTGTTGTTGACTGAATCTGTATAAATTTAAGAACTCACATAGAAACATGTTTCTTCCGATTGATTACAGAAAAAGACTGCACCAATGCAGCTCTGTATACATTGCCAGCTCCCCTCACACATGTGTACTGTTTACAATATGGTGGCACATGTGGCTTAGTGACAATAGACAAAGAGCTGTAATCGCTGTGAAAAAACAATCTTACGCAATGGAGAGAGTTTGTGTGACGTGACAAAGTAACAGCTACATCATGGTGGATGGGATATCCCCAGTCATAGAGTTAATAGCTCAGAATAATCAGATGCAAGGCAGAATGTCTGAATTACTTTTAAATTGTATCTTGAAATGTCTTCACTAATACTGGGGGGGGTTCC